CATGCAAATTATAATTGTAAATTAGTGCAGTTCTACTAGCTGATGCAAGAGATGCAAGAATCTTCTCAAGCATATCAGGACCAAGAAGTCTGCCAGAATCTGCAGAAGCAATTGATGATCAGGGTAAAACAGGGTAAAACATGGGCTTTCAGAGAAGAAAATGTCATGGCAGAGAAGCTAAATGAGTTCTTTGCATTGATTCATGCCCCCTGTGAAAGAAACTCACTGCTACAGACTTCACCAGGGATCACTCATCACAGGATCTGTCCAAAACCGAAGTGATCACAACCAGTTTTAAGGAGTAAACTGACACAACAGTAACAAATCAACAGGACTGGATAATCACCCTACATTTCTAAAAGAACTAATTAATTAAATAGCTTAATTATTAACAGTGATGTGCTACCTCTCAAAACTGCCTTGATGCCTAAGCACTGGAAGGGTAACAAACATGGAATCTATTACAAGAAAAGGATCCAAGTGAGAATCAAGCCTGGTGTCTGTACCAGATAAATGAAAGGAAACCATAAAAACCAACAATGAGTGGACAGTCAGATAAACGCAGTCAGCTTTAAGACTCCTCAGTCCTGACTTACCCAATTCTTGAGCTCTTTGTTCTTTTGACAATAAACATATGCAAAAGACACCCATCTGATATCACCCATGGGGCTTTCCAGGAGGCTTTTGACAAAGTCACTCACCTAAATCCTAGCGAAACTAAGCAGTCATGCTGGAAGGGAGAATGTCCTCATGATACATAAACGATTAGAGGATGGAAAACAGTAGCTCAGCAGTCCCTGCGGTGGTGGAAGATAACCAGTGGAGCTCCACAGGGTTCTGTGCTGGGACCTGTTGTGTTCTATTTGCCCATAAACAACACGGTAAAGCGGGTGAAAGCAGGGATATGAAAGACTTCACTGATGACACTAAGATATTCAAAGTAGTAAAGATGAAGGCTGACTGAAGAGCAGATAAAGTATTTGTAGTCAACTGGTAATAAAATAGCAGATGAAATTTAAATGCAGATAAACATTAAATTATGCATGTGGAAAACCACAGAACAGTCATACCTTCATGTATAAAATGACAGCCTTTGAGCCAACAATAACCACTTGGAGAGCAATCTTAGTATTAATGACAGATTCTTCACAGGGGTTTAATGCTTACAGGAGGTCAAGACAGCAAATAAAATTTTGTGAATTCCTGGGAAATAAACTTATGCAGGCAAAATCTATGATATGGCCATGTCTTAACTGCCGTGTTCTGGTTTCCTCACCTCAAAAAGAGATACAGGACACAGGACTGTAGAAAGTTCTGTGAAAAGCAACACGGGTGCACAATAGGACCAAGTAAGCAAGAACACTTCAGCCTAGAAAAGAAATAACTCAAAGAGGATATGATAAAGGTCTAGAAAGTCAGGGGTGGTGTGAAATGAATGACTGACAACTAAACATTCACCGACTTTTCAATACAAGAACCAGAGGGAATCAAATGAAGACAGTAAAGGCCAAGTTCAAAACAAGTAAAAGGAATTATTTGTGCAATGGGTAGCTGCTATGGCAACTCCTTACCAATAGATGTTTAAGATGTTAGAAGTTTATGTGGGGTAGATAGGAGACTGTAGAATTTCATGGAAAGGAAGTCCGCTGAGGTTTATTTCATACACAGAGAACCACAGCTGGCTGAGGAAGGTTCCAAACTTGGGAAGAGCTGGAGGTTTGGTAAGTATATGCAGGAAGTGTGTGCTTGCTCTGTTTTTACTGTTTTCTAGGTATCTGCTTTTCACCACTGCCAAGTATGGACAGTAGGCTGGATGATCCTTCCATGTGAACCTATGTCAGTAATGCTCAATAGGCAATTGCTGCATCCAGCAATGTCAGATACTTAACAAATGTTTCCTAATTAAAAATGTAGGCTACACTAAAGTACAAAGGGACTTTTCTATGCAACAGGCACAAGATTTCTTCTGTGCAAATTTTCGTGCCGCACCTTGTGTCTGTGCACTTAAAATGGAAAACAGACTCCTAACTGTACACTGATAAAAATGACAGCGGGGCCCCAAAAGGCCACCTAAGCTCAGGCAGTGCCTGACCTACTGATAGAAGCTACTGTCCTATTTAGGCAACCTACTGTTCCAAAAGCATGGCCTTCTTATGACTCGTGACACTAACTACAGCCGGAGAAAGTCGTCCTTTATATAGCTTATATGAAAAGCTTGGAGATGATAATGATCTGGGAGAGGTGAACAGCATCTTGCTAAAAGATTTCTGGAGATAGGCAAAAGACTACAATGCTGACTAGAAACAGAAGCATGCAAAACAACATATGCTGGCAACATAGAGGCTCTACATGAACACTTCTGCAAGCTTTCAAGGAGTTTTTGTTACTCCACACAAGTAAGCTCCAAAACCAACCACAAGTGATGTCCAACAGAAAGTGTACTTCACATGCAAAGAAAAGCACTGCTGAATTCCCCAGTCTTACCTTGTAGACCCAGCTTTTCCAATCTTCTGTAATCCTCTCCTGACCTAGGACTACGACACATGGAATTTAGCAAGTCTTGCCAACTTAATTTCCCCGAAAGTCTTCCTCACAGAGTTAAATGACTACTCTCCCATTCCTTCTGACTCTTTTACCCAAGAGAGAAAACCAGCAGAGAAAAAAAAGAGCTGAAATGGCAGTGTGGTGAAAAGAACGGAGACTATTTGGGTGGCAGCTGTGGAATTCAGTGTGGTGCGGGAGCAAGTCATTAATCCTATTTCCAGTGCTCACACTTTTATTTTCACAGTATTTAATGCTTATTTTTAAAGTCACAGTTATGAAAGCACTTGAGAAAGTCCGGGTGCTGGTTTTCTCTTTTTCGCCAGTATGTTTCTAGCTGCCATGATTGCCAGTAAAAAAACCTGATCTCATGAACTCTGCAACCTGAAAATTGAGAACACACACACACACACTTCCTTTCTTAACATACCAGTTTTCAGTCCTGAGGATTTTTAATGATTTGAGTTTAATGTTACTGATTTATCCTCCTCTTTGCTGCTTCTTCCCACAGCAATTTTACTCACACTGCTGTAACTTGTTTTGTTTTCAACACATACCGACTTGCTCCGTAACTCACTAGCTGTCACCATTTTAAAAGAAAGATTAGTACTGCCAACTACACCTCAGGAAAAACATTTGCACTCCTCACAGCTCAAGTGTTTATTATATACTACAGAAAAAGTGGTGCATTACATTATCCATGTGCCTTTTCTTGTTTCTGCAGGGCTTCACTAAGCTGACAACTGACAGTTGCATGCTTGTTTGAAAACTGCAGTAAGAAATAATTATTCTGAAGACACTGCATATATAATAATCACAACATAATAACCAAGTGTTTTTAATACACAAGCTATTTCTTTACTAATTTGTATTTTGATAAAGCAACTGACAGTTTAATACAAAAAGCAATGCTAATGCAGTAAAGAAAGATGTATTTCAAGAACACTTAATAAATTAGACAAATGAGAAGCTAAATTCTGAACACTACCTGACAACAAACAATTTGAATTTATATATGACCCTACAATTCATTATGACACAAAGCCATTATCTCAGGAGCCTAGAAAAGTTTCCCTTAAAATTACAGATGAAAATTGAAAGGAAGATGTTACTCAATTGAAGCACTTTATTCCCAGTCCCGTCATTTGTAGAGTTTTTAATACAGTGCACACAAGGAAAAATAACTATAAATCTAGTAAAATATCATGCCTTTGATATTTCTCATTATTTACATAGTGTTTACTAAAGTGTCTCTGAAGACTATACAATGCAAGAGCAGTCTGAACCTAGAAACACTCAGATACGCTGCAGAAACGTTAATCTACATACATGTAGAAGAACGGAAACAACTCAATATTTGTTCCTTTTCCGTGTGTATTATCACAGAAAACAGCGAGGTAGGTAAACAGGAAAGGAAGAAATTATTTTTGTATTTGGGAAGAGAAAGCAGGGATTGTTCAGCATAGCCGATCTGGTTACCTTCATTAACTGCCTTGAACAACAGCAGCACAAGAGACCACCTTCCAGGAATTACTAACCCTGGCATAAGCTGGATAGCATACCTACATGTCCTCAAATCAGTTTAGATGCTGGAGCGGCCAAGAAAGCTTCTGTCTTCTAAGAATAATCTTAAAGTGATTTAAAGTTCTATGTTTCGAAACCTTGTTCCAACTATGCTTTACATAAAAATTATTTTCCTCTTAAATCTTACCTGGCAATAGAGCCAAGTAATTTACCATACACGGGGCACTGCACTCCTACCAACACAGCAACCTTTAAACCTTTGATCAAACCCCCCCAGCCTGGCGTTCTTTTTTTTTTTTTAGGAAAAATCACTATGATATGGCAGGACAATACAGCAATTCCTGACTCTATGTTCTAATCAAGTTGGTAGCAAGCATACTCATAATTTCAGCTCATAATACAAGGCATTTTGACAAGCCCTAAACACTTATTTCTAAGTCAATGTGCCAAACGCGGTATTGTAGGCACATGGTTTCCTCTGGTAGAGCAGAGATATATTCTGACACCTCATGCAGCTAAAGGAACAATTTTTCCCCTGCCTTCAAACTGCTCAACTCTGAAAAATTCACATTTCTTTTGCAAGGGAGGAAGGCAGGAGAAATCCCAACAATTTCCTACTATTAAATATTCAAATAAACTATTTGCTTTAAAAAGTATTTTTTAAAACAAAGAAAAACAATTAAGTACTCAAAGGACTGTTTCTACACATGCAAAGGATAGATAAGTCAATCAACTATCTATCCTCTGTATTGCTTTGGCTTTTTAATCTAAATTATTTCATTTCAATTATTTACTACTTAGAAATGCTGTCAACCATTTAAAATTTTTATTTGGTAAATGCATAAAAGTAGGTCACTGAAAACAAGCTTATGCACAATAATACACAGACACATCAGAGGATTAATATAGAAAAATCAAGAGATGAAAAAACTGACCTGCTGCTTCTGGTGTTTGTTTAGTAGGGCTAAAAATAAGATGTAACATCTGGAGCAGTCTGCTAAAGCCACGCAGAAGTCATCATAGGAAGAAAGTTTGCTACAAACGTACAAAAATAAAATATCAGTGAATGAAAGCACTTTCTTTCTACTAATGATTTTTTTTAAAAAAATCACTCTGCTTTTGACTCTCTGAGCTGTATTTGCCAACAAATGAAACGAAGGCAAATACTCTGACTTCTTGGAGAGGCATATGCAGTTACAAAAGAGCACAACAGAAGTGTAGCTATCCTTCCCACAGTGAATCACAGGAAGAAGTGAACATAAGGAGCTTCCCAACCTGCTTGCCATATGGGCACAGTATGCTAACACCAGCACTTCTTAGCATTGAATGGGAGAACTGTAATTTCAAGATGACATGGGAAGTCAGACAGGAGAAGAAATAAAGGGCTCCTTCCTAATGCATGTCTAGTCAAGCCCAGCGACGTCTCTCACCAGCCAGATATGGAGAACACGCCTTCTTGCAGTCACGATTTACCTCTGTGTATTCCCTAACAGCTGTTCTGGTCCTACACTGCTCACCTTGGCCATTACGAAATAAGAGAACTGGACGTGCTCTCGTCATACCAGAAACACTGCAATAACAGAACAAACCAGGATAACCTCTTACTTCCCACGTAGTCAAAACCAGCAAACATCTGTGTTGATGTTCAATGACAACCAATTACAGCACGACTTACAGACTTACTGTAATCTGAATAGATTGAGTATATTCTCTACAAAGAAGCTGTCTAAAGTTACTGACTGAGAGATGTGAATAATCATTCTGCACTATTAGAAGACCAAACAAACTTCAAATACGTGCTCTTTACTGCATAGTACAATTTTTTTTCATTTTTTTTTTGTGACTGCAATTTCAGGAAGCTAATTAAATCGATTTTATGGCTAATTTGTATCCTTGGAGCATGCAGTTCACTAAACTTAAGAAAAAAATTGAAGGAGTAGGAAACTTTAAATAAGAAAAATTACTTTTGCTCCATATTGAATTCTAGATCAAGTAAATGGCCTTGTCAGAATTACAGTGTAAGTATGAACTACATTTAATTGCAAACCCATTACCCCACTTTTCATGGCATTTTCCAAGTGAAAGAAATGCTCTCTCCGTGGATGAAGTAAGTATGCTCAAAGTGCTGTTATCATTGCTAGGACCAACCCATTTTTAGGAACAAAATTAGACACACAGATGTGGACGAGGTAGCATGGAACTGGGGAAGCAATTCATATGCTTTACAGGTAGCACAAATGGCAAAGGACCAGATTTGTCTGCTTTTAGCTGTGGAGAGGAAGGAATGACAGTCCCTTATGCAGCTGCTCTTCAATGCGCAACCCGATCTCATCTAGCATGGAGAAGGCGATGGATAATTTGGAGGAGCTGAATAGGAAGATAAGTCCACAGCAGAATGACTTATCAATGAACATGGAGCCACAGGCAACATGACTTGATACACTAACAAAGCAGCAACAGCAAATACATCATCTAGAACAGCATTGATAAATTGTGCTTACAAACTCCTCCTGAAATTACCAACAGTTAATTTCACAACTTCTTCAAAATCCTTAAACTATTTGCAAGGCCACTTAGCATTGGATATTGCAAGCTGGTGCTTGGTAACTGCAAGATTTTTTGACTGAGAAACTATTCAGAGTACAAACAGATCTTTTTGGGTGATCCACTCATACTGATCTCCCTCTAAAAAGCACATCTTGGGAAGCAGCCACTGAGCCACTCATAAAACTGAGATTCTTTCAGTGCTTCCAACTGCACACTCAAGCCCTGATCCCACAGATTAATCTGACAGCTCAAAACAATGAACGCTGATC